CCCGCGGGGAAGAGAAAAATATATTATAAATGCATGTGTAAGGCATAACTAAAAGCGTCAAAAAAGTTTAAAAGAATTAAATTTATATACTGACCCTAGTAAAATACTGACCCTAGTAAAAACATGCATGCGCTATCCTACGGCAACATGTTTAATCAGCATGCTGAGTGTACCTAAGAAACTTTAGTTGAAAAGCTATACTATCATGTTTAATATTACGGAACATAAACTGACAAATGACAATGTATCATCATAGTGACAAAAACATAAAAATTATACAAATATTAAAGTGCGTCTAGTTTCATGTCCATGTACAAGCGTTCTGACCATCTGGAAGGATCCGGGGAACTCTGTGATTTTCATACGTCTCAGTAGTCATATTTGCATGACCGCGGAGGCTTCCATTGGTACCTTGTTGGCGGGATATCTGGCTCATCCATCACATTAAAAAGGAAAGGGTGGGCACAGTCGTATTCGTCTGCTTTGGACTGAGGAGAGTAAGGAGAGATAGACCATAAATTTAATTGTTGTTCAAAAGAGTTCGAGAGGTTGTGGACGGTTGTCTTGAGCAGGCAACCAAACAATGAAGATCGGTCTAGCATTGACATAAGTAGAAGTGCTGATGAATAGAGAACGTATGTTTCCTTCAATTCGGTCATCATCATTTCAGCACTCGTAGGTCGGTTGTGACCGTTCCTTCACAAGTTTTTTTTAAATCTTTACAAATATATTTCTAACTAATACCGTTATGTTGATTGTTTTGAGTTCTTCTGAGCATATAGTGGACTGATTGAGTTTCCGAAAACGTCTCGTAAGGCCGATCCTCTACCATTGTCTCTACCATTTAATTGTTAGTTAAATATACCCTCCACCAAATTGTTAAATAGCTTTTTTTTATATGCGAGGTAAAATATCTTTACAATGAATTAACTAATGTTCATTAATGTTTGCTTCAGGATAGGCTCTTTCTTCAAGTCGTCGTTTTAGTCGTGTCTTCTTTGTCTGTTCTTGTCTTGTTGGTGATATCCCCTAATTTTATAACTATTTTATTATGCATACAAATGACATAACTGAACACAGAAAGCCTTGCGTAACAATAGTGTTGTTATTTCTTTGAAATAAAGTAATTAACGATTTTGACGAGAGAATTGAGCGTATTCTCGACGGATGACATACAGAATACAAAAATTGACTAATGGTCAAATACATTATACGGTAGTTTTTTTACGCCAGTACTTTCAAGTACTTTTACCGATTTATAGAAATAATTCTTCGAACCTTTGTACCGTTTGGATGTTCTACAATATCACAATACTTTTTCGGTATAATGATTTCAAAATGAATATAATAAAGTGGAAATTACACTTCGTATCGTGCAATTGTGGTGTGAAATGAAACTTGTGATTCACAAATCGCACTCCAATGCAATGAAAAAGTATTTACCGAGACTGAAGATAACATCAATGACATATCTCTGCATCAAAAAACATCATCATCATTGACCTGTCTCGGGCCAACAAAACATAATGTTTCCTGCGGTCGCGAGAAATTAATGTTAAATATTGTCCTATTGTCACTGGCTTAATCCCAATTCCAGAATCCATAACCCATATATGGGCCCAGCTTCAAAATAGATCGGTGAATATTATCCATTTTTTCTGTCTTTTTCTTGCTATATAGCAAGATCCTAAATTTATTTTTCCTTTGAAAATAGAGTTTTGTTTAAGTTTTTTCCCACCCTCGACGTTCATGCAAAATTTCTTGGCATGAAAGTTTCAAATGCAAGATTGAAAACTCACACTGAACGACTGAATCTCCTAATATTTTTACCATACTACTTGTAAAACGCCACGTGATGTTTGCAAAATTAACCTGAAACGTCATTGTTTCATAAAGATTTTAGAAAAAGCTGTAAAAGTATTCCAGCCATCAGACACGACAAGAGAATCATGGAATCGGGATAATCAAAGTTTCACGGTATTTTTTACTATTTTGCTTTATATTTTAAAGGTCCAGTCATGTGAGTGCATCAGTTCTGCTCATAACATTACAATGCGCGGCCGAAAAATATGAAAATTGTCTAAATTTTGCATGTTTCGGATTTTTCCCGGACAAAGACTCATATCAGTCATATTCATTTAGAACTATAGCGAACAAATACGTTTGAGAAAGGCGTCGTATTTCAAAAAATGTAATTGGTTAAATATTTATGAAGTACAATTCCATGAACGATATTGCTATTTGGCATAGGCATTTATGGATTGAACTCAGAGGCAGAACGAATAAATTCTTTTAAAAAGCTATATCATATACATATCAATAAAATTATTCTGGTCTTCGACTAGCTGGTTATTTCATCCGGTAATTCCTGTTATCTAATTATCATAATAATATACATTGAAAAATTTCTCAATTCTGATTCTAAATCCTATAGTGCTCCTGAGTGTTATAATTGTTGTGTCTTTATATAAATTAAATATTATATGTAAAAACGTTGAAACAGCTCTATATTTTGACACGATTTGAAAAACAAAAAAAAAAAATTTGTTAATTGAATAAATTATTTATCATATAATTATGTAGCACGTGTCTCTTAACTTTTTGATGTATATTATTAATAGGTAATAGCATAAATTCTTGTGCAATTTGGAAAAACATGCACTCGTGAGTTTTTCAAAGACTTCCAATTGCATTCGTCCTTCTGACTCGTGCTATTTTGAGGTCTTTGAAAAACTCACTCTACTCGAAACCATGCTATTACCTATACAAATACACAATCATTTACTTTTCTAGAAGCATTTGATGGAAAAAGTATTATCCACGTTTTCCTCGTATTTTAATGCTTACGTTTCAAGTCAAAACTGGAAAAAGGTAAACAGTGTTAACAGACGAATGTTTGCAACAGTAACACCAAAAACAGCATGATCCTTTCGACGAGTTTATTATTTTGCGTGTATGGCACTGATTTCTGGATTGATTTATACATTTTCAAGAATATTATACCAGTTTTCAGAGACCTATAATCCTGTTAACTGTTTAGAGGTTTATTGCAGTGTTATATTTTCTAACAAAAATTATTCGGACAAAAAGTCAGAATCAGAATTGAAACTCAGAATTGAAGTGCAAATCAAAGAATCCATAATTATATATTTTAACACCTGCTCTGTGGTCTGACTATACCTCTAGCTGCAAGCATACAGAGCGATCCACTTCATAAAAACCGAATTAATCCCTTGCTGAGGAAAAGAATTGTAAAATGATATTATTTTATATATTTCTTTTAACAAGGAGGCATTTCGTTCTGAAATAATCGGAATAGTTTTCACGCAAAGGCAATCAGAATGCCAAAATTTTCAATACTTCTTATGAAATGGCAAATAATGAAACAAATTAGCTGATTTGCCTGAGACGAAATTCCTTCTTTTTATACCACAAGTATAATCTTGTTGTTCGAAAAGACAAAAGAGTGCTCAATACTATAAGATGTTATAGAGCGAATTAAGTAGATGAAATTAAGTCTTAAAATGAATTTATTTAGCTATCGCTACTCTGAGTTTCACGATTATCTCGATCTTCAGGCGATTAAATTCAGTTCGTTGGATTGTTTTGTTCGTTGGATTCAGTTCGTTGCAATCCAACGAACTGAATTTAATCGCCTGAAGATCGAGATAATCGTGAAACTCAGAGTAGCGATAGCTAAATAAATTCATTTTAAGACTTAATTTCATATATATATATATATATATATATATAATATATATATATAATATATATTATATATATATATATATATATATATATATATATATATATATATATATATATATATTATATTATATATATATATATATATATATTATATATATATATTTATATATTATATATTATTTATATTTATATATATATATATATATATATATATATATATATATATATATATATAATTTTTTGCCTCATATTATTGTTATAATGAGATCACCCTAAATTGACTGGAAAACTCTTATACCTAGCTTCAACCTTACGTGTTTTAAATTGCATGCTTAAAACATTTTGCACATATACATATAGATTGGCAACATGCTATATTTCGAAAGTGAAATCCTTGGCAACTTGATTGGCTATGCAGAGCATTTACCAGATACATTATTCAAAGTGGATGAATTTCAGCGGAGACAAAGTATTGCATAAAAAATTGTTTATGTTGGTACCAAAATGCTAGATTGTCAGTGATGAGTACAGATTTTATCTTTCTACCAGGTTTTATCTTCACAACCAGGAAGTTGCCGCTAACTAACTCTTCATTTTCTATCAACAAAGATCGTATTCAACTATCAATTAATTCAGACAATAGTTCAAACGTTGATAAAACACACCAAGGTAATTGGAATGGGATGAAGATCCTGACCCGCGCTCAAGAATCGTAAATGATTATAATTTTACACCACCTCCTTCGCCGGCGTTTTAAAGCCGGGCGGGGATTCTATACTAAGGGATGGTGCTTGTCACGGGCGGGAGGCCAAGCCAATACTCAAATTTCATACCGAAAACTACTCCCACCCGGCCGCCCGCATCGAAAAGTTCTGCGGAGGTAGTGCATTTGAGGCAAATTCCGCAAATCGTTTAAAAATAGACTATTCTTTGCGATTCAAATTAGATAATACGTTTTGCATGATAATCACGGCCCAGGTTTGGTACAATAAAGTTCATGAAAATAAGTAATACTGAAGACGAAAGGTTGGTAAATATTAATTTACAATTATATTTATTATATATTCAAAACCTATTCTCGTTTCTATAATAAATCAAAGCGGTACGGATATAACTGCAGTTATTTTTGGTTGCCGATGCCAACAGAAGAGACATTTAATTTATTTGACTTGTTTGAAAGTGTCTACGTTTACGATCTGGTCTGATAATACAAACAACCAACCACAGTCGTCGTCCACAAATCACTCGAGCGACCATCTTCACCCTTACCCCCCAAACTATTGTCATTTTAGAAACATTGCAAATTATTATGATAGAAACGGATATATTACTTGGAAGTAGTATTGTAATTAAAGGGTATGTGTCTCTAATTTAAAATTTCTTTCAACGAGAAGTGGTCTAGTACTGGCTATGGTGCTTCCTTGTAAGGCTCCCCTCCACCCCCAAACCATCCCTCCACCCCCAACCATCCCTCCACCCCCTAACCATCCCTCCACCCCCCATTATTAATTCTCCAACTGTGTAGTAATCAAAACTATTTTTTTCAGTGACAAAAACAGTTATACACTTGCCTCTCGGATAAAGACCTATAAGGTTTCATTGGCGAGGAACCGAATTGTAAAGTTCATGGGAACAACATTTTTTTTCCAAAGCCAGCCGCAGAAAAATGTACGCCGATGCATTTCTATACAATCTCTTGTCAAAGATCACTGAGAGCTACACAATATACCCAAAAATTTATTTAATTATTTTTTTCAGCCACAAAATGGTCAGCACTTTTATTGCCTGCTATGGGATGCGACAAAGAAAATATGGATTCAACTTGGACTTGCCAAGAACGTGAATGCTAAAATTTTGCAATGTAATGTCGACCAGGGAGCGAGTATAGCGGTTTTTGCGACTGAGGTATATTATAATTTCTATATTCCTTTTTTTACTGTTCAAGAAATTTTCTCCCTTAAATCAGTCAGTCTGATTTTTCAGTGCATAATTTTTGTACTCCATAACGAGATTTTAAAATTTTTATTATTTCAAAAACATTTAGAGAAGAATCTTTGATTTTACGGGGTTTCCAGAAGATAAAATTGACGTTCCTAAAATCCTCCCGGAGGTATATACGGAAAAATGTGCGCGTAAGTCAACTGAGTCCGGCGTAGTTATATATATAAAGTTGATATATAATTATCTTTAGCTATATATAAAGGTAATTATTAATATACAAATATCATAAAAATATGTGATTGGTAAAATCTCATACTTTCTAATTACTATACGATTTTTGTATTCGTATAACTATTGAAAGATCGACTTTCCAGTCATATAAGCCAATTCTCCATCAAGTACAATTAACTCGAGTTATCAAATTCAACTATGAATATGCTACGAATAGTTTTAAATGATTCAATTTGTGAGCGAAATTTCAACTAATTTTTTAACCAGATTAACTACTTTTATAATAACTTCAAAAGACCGGTCGTGGATTTGTATATATATTTTTGTTTACAATATACATGCTTTAAATGCAAAAACTAACCCACCACATTTACCCGTTCAAAAATCACTTCAAAAAAACTTCAAAATCACTTTTATGAGTCAATTTTCTGTATCTTTTAAAGGTGATTTGAGATGAAAAATATAACTTAAAAAATTTTAACAACGTACGGCAGCTGATGCAAACGAAAATTTTAATTTACATAATCGCATATTTGCAACGTTTTCGATCTAGTTACCAGGTTAAATCGCGCATGCGCATAACGTCCTAAAAACGTTTAACGTCTATGACATAACGACAGACAATTAATTAATAACTTCAATTTGGCATTTGCATTCCTGGGTGTAATTGAAATCTCCGGGCGGAATCTTATGATAAACGTGCGACGTAACCTGTTCATTTATTGTATATGAGTGATTTGGCAATATGTTATAACACTGTGTTTGAAACACCTTATTTTCTGATTCAGATTTCGCCAAACTCAAGTGGATCCTTGGATCAGTCTGATGATCTGATTATTTTGGTCTCTTTTATCGGACGTGGATTGTCTTTGTTTGGTTTTCTAATCACCATAATATCCTTTGCAGTTTTATAGTAAGTGTCTATAAAGCTATAACCTATATAAGTTTGATGTGATAATAAGCATTGGGTATGGATAATCAATTATCAATGCTCAAGTCCACTCTTGGTATTTTTCAACCGTAAGATGAGAGATCGTCTACCAACCTCTCCCGGCTTCCTTTATTATTAATAGGCTTTATAGTTAAGTCTCGTAGACCTTCTGCATTGATGCTTCGCATGCAGCAAGTGTTAATTCCTCAGAATACTTCTCAGCCCAAGATGCTTGTTAGCCCAGGATACTTCGCAGCCCAAGAGGATCTTGATACCTCCTGCATAGGTACTGTGAGGGTCCTATCTCAAACAACACCCAACACTACACACACATCCATTTGGATAATGCGTTTCTATGCTTTCTAAGAAACAAAGCTATGCTATTGAGAAATGTATTGTAAAGTTCAGCCAATGAAAATCCTTCTTGTCACTATATACGTACCCCTTGCACAAGACGTGAACACATTAACATCTCTGAACGATTTGTTAATGTCTCTGAAGATTTCGTATTTGGCACAATCCCAAAGAACAGTAATGCTCGCGCTTTTAGCATTACGAAGAAAAGTTTATTTTCTAATAGTTTGTGTGTATGTATGTGTGTAGACTGTAGTAACTGGTAAGTTTTGTGTTAAAAAATCTGTTAATTTCTTGCATGGGTGTGTAAATTGTTTTCCCAGTTTAGGATATAAACTTGGGTGCAATTTTTACCACACATCAGACTCTTTATCTTTAACTAAGTTAATTTTTTTTTTCGTTAAAGCAAATACGTTCAAATATTGAGAACTACCCGCTATCGAGTACATTTTTGTTTGATTGTTTCCCTTGGGCTTTCACAAATTGCGTTTATCAGTGGAATTGCTGTGGATGAAGGAACGGTACGTTCGAGGCTGAGAAATCATAAGAATCCTTTTTTCACACATACTAAATTGCGAACAAAGTTACTTAACCGCGAGAAAATGGTACAAGGGTTGATAAAAGAACGCCTGCAATGTTATTACATATTTACATTAAACTCTTTATCTAATAAACATGCATGCATGGACAGGAATCGCGGACGAATATTAAATAGTACATTAGTTCCAGTTTAGTTCAAAATTCAAATATCTTTTAATTCTGCGCTATAAATTAGACGGCGGCGAATTTTTTATTTCCACAAAAATTGAGAAAATCATTGAATATTTACAATTTAACCTGGTTTTTCTTGTAAATCAAGGCATACCAAAGTTTGTCGGATAATTTTTTGCTGGTATGGGTTTATGCTAACTCATGATAAATGGCTGAAACTTTTGTTGGAAAAGCAGGAAGAATTATAATGGTCAAAAATTTTAAAATTCTACCTCAAAACATTCGGAGTAACTTGTTTTGGAACTAGTTCTGCAATTGATGCATGTTGAATGCAAGGTGCATACAATATTCATGCAACATAAAATTATTAAAAAGCGCCATCTATATTAAACTATAGATTTTTGAATAGATGTTTAGATGTTAAACTATATGATGATTAAACTAACGAACGTATTAATTGACACTTGTTATGTTGGTCTTTGTTGAAAGCCAAGGTATTAATTGAGCTAATTAAAGTGTCATTGTTACGGATTTTGAATACATCAAAAGTTTAAGGTATTTTAAAAAGACTTTACAATACATTTTGTCTTGATGGATTTATTAGCCTTTAAAATTTACCGGACATGACGTATCCCTATTTGACGTCATGTCTGGCAACCTCAAAATTTTTCAATAACAAAATGTATCGCAAATTTCTTTAAAATACCTTAAACTTTTGATATATTAAAAATCCGAAACCATGGTATAAGAACTTCAAGTTCCTTCTTGCAAAGTGTGAAGCTTATAGTCGGTGATCCATTTTGCCTTTATCTGCTTTTACGACTACCAAATCTATATACTTATGTGCGTTAAAAAATGTAAAATTTTAGATTAAATTTTAGATTTCTGATCCGTGCTTAAGGAATCCTGAAAATATGTGGCAATTCTAATAAAACATGTAACATTAAAATTTTGAAATTTAATTTATTTATTTTAGACTGCATTTTTCTCTCACGACGTTTTGCTGGATGGCGGTGGAAGGTGTTCTGCTTTATCTGAAAATAGTGACCGTGTACACAACAGTTTTTGATAAAATTAAATATTTTCATCTCTTTGCTTGGGGTGAGAGATAATTATTTTCTTTTTTCACACTTTTTATAACTTTTTAAATAATTTCCTATTATTTTATTGATGTAGGCTATCACTGCACGCTGCATTCTTTTCGTTTCAGGACTTCCATGTTTCGTGGTCGCTTTATGCCTTACTTTTACCTTTGATGGCTATGCGTCCAAAACGTGAGTTCAATGAATATTGAAGAAGTGAAATTTTTATATATTTGATGATACACGAGATTTGCTTTCTGAGATTTGATTAGACGTATATAAAATTATAATTATCGTAAATAAAAATAAGCTATTTTGACCAGGATTTTTGTTATTTTAAATTTTTATTTAATATAATAAAAACGTATAATTTATTGGTTAATATAACTAAAAACATATAGTTAAAAAACAATTTTTTGGTTGTTTTTACCAAATAAATGTAATTGTTTGAAAGAGATGAATCTGAGAGAACCGTTTTCTAATTAGTTGTTTTAACAATCTGTTCTTACAGATGAGAAATGACAAAACGCTAGGTTTAATTAACGTAGTTTAATTATCCTCGTTGTAGTTTATACGTTACTTCAACTTTGCAAACCATTCACTTCCCTTTACGCAGATGTTTTGTCAAGTTGGAAAATGTTTGGGGGATTTGTACCTACATTCTTCCCATGGGAATTTTGGTGTCAGTGAGTGTCACGTAATTATATATTTACGTTTTCGGTCCAATGCAGTGAACTCTATGTGAACTGGGACGATAACTCGGACGCCAACTTCAATTAAAGCTAATTTAAAAGCCGAATTAAAGGACAAATATTATTCCCATGTGAACCGATACTAGATGGACTTAGCGCACGACCTGTTAAATCGGGTGATCGGTGGGACCACCGTTGCTCACGTCATAATTATAGGTCCTTGCTTTCATGCGTAAATTTGCTGACCGAAAATAGCTGGGTCGTAATTCGGATTTCGAAGTGAGTGTTGTTAAAATTTGATTGAATTATGATATAAATTTAAGTTCAATTTCTGAAATTTATGTTATATTATGAAATTTATGTTATAACGCCAAAAATCTGCGCAAGATACTCACTAAAAACATTGTTTAAAAATGTAAGCTCGCCCACAAACCGAAATAAATATCAGTCTGCGGTAATTCACATCGACGAGAGTACCAATATGACGTAAGCAACGGTGGGGAAACATTTTAAATGTATTTTAAATCTTTTTTCGCAGGTTAATTTGGTTATAATGATAGTAATATTAAGAGTCTCTACAAAGACATCGAATAAACTCGAACTTCATGGAAAATCTCTGTAAGTATACCATTCAGTTGAATGGCAAGTTTTATGCGCGAATGTGGGTATTAAGAGTGGCTCTAGAGGCTTGTTGCGTGTTGCATACAAGATTTGCGAGAACAATTAAGTTTTCTTTATACAACAGTTCAAAATGAGGAAATTGTTCAACAAGTTCAAACTAAATTTCCCAGAACAAGAAAAAGCATTCCGAAATTATATCTTCTTATATATTTGATGTATAATATTAAATTTATTTATTAGCGGTATTCTTCGGCGATTGGTCATCCTCTGGCCAATTCTTGGTATAACATGGATTTTTGGGATAGCCGCTCTTCTTCACCATCACTTGGTCTGGAAATATGCATTTGCCCTGTTTAATTTATGCCAGGTACCACAGCATGCAATTCACATTCGTTTTCAAGTCCATCGCTATAGACCCATTGCACTGACGTCATAATCATTAAAGTGGAAGTCAAGTCCGTTCTGCGCATAGGTTCTGCTCATAACAAGTGTGGGCCCTCTGATGAGAAAATTCCCTAAATTTCGCATGTTTCTTATTTTTTTCTTAACATAAACTCTAGTTCATATTAATTTACAAACACAACGACCCTAAATAGTGTTAGATATTCAGACAGCACATCGTTTTTAAAAAATAGTGAAGTTCAAAATGTAAACAAACCGTTTGTTTACATACGGACTTGACTTCCACTTTAAAAGTTGTCCCCCAAATGTTTCCTTGCTTCACTAAAAATAATGGTTATATGCGAGCAGTGAGGGTTTATATAGCGGTCAAATGCAGTTAACGAAACAAAGTTTCTCACACTAGTAAATATTACGTTTTATTACGTTATTACGCCAAAATTTAGGTTTTTGAAAATTTATGCTACAGTAATTTGTCCTCCAGGGGCCGGTTGTTCAAAAGCCGGTTACCTTAACCCTGGATTAAACCAAATCTTTACATTAATTTTTAAGTTGATAATCAATTTTCAAGTACAAAATAAATAATTTCAGGACCGATAGAAGTCATATTTTCTAAACGTTTAAAACGGTTGTTCTAAAGCACATAAACTAAAACTCTTGAATTAAGAATTAAAAAACGAGTCGCGTGCCTTTATGGTGTAATAATGCACGATGGGGGAATATTGGGAGAATACGAGAGAAGCTTGTAAAACACGAGGCGTAGCCGAGTGTTTTACAAGCTTCTCGAGTATTCTTCCAACATTTCCCCGAGTGCATTATTACACCATAAAGGCACGCGACGAGCTTTTTTAATTCTTTTATAATATAAGAAGAAATTATAGGGCAACAAAAAAATTTATTTATTTGATCAATAATGAAATTCTCCTTACATGTTATTTAAGATGTTGCTTAGCAACAAAAACTTCAAAAGCCAGAAGCGTGCATTATGGCCTCACAATGCACGCGCGGTAGCCAATCAAATTGCTCGTTATATCATACTTATATTATAATATAATTTAACCCTGGGTTAGCGCTAACATAGCTTTGAACAACCGGCCCAAGATGCCAAATGTGGCGC